TAGACTTTACGTACAAATTTTGACTTCACCAATTTTATGGGATTTGTTTTGACAAAATCGATGTTAATATGGAATAAGACAAATAAATAAAGCCTTTTTTATTTTAGTAAATATTTTACGTCTTTTTATTTTTTTACTTATCAGATGTTATGTGATTCTTTTTTCCTAAACTTATTTTATGAGATATAAGACAAATAAATAAAATAATAAAATAAAATTATGGATAGAAATAGCTAGGCATTAATTACGTTGAGTTTTCAACTTACTAAATTTGGTAAATAGGATACCTTATTATATAAGTATATATTATGAAAAGAACACTATTGATTTAGGTATATAATAATACAGGATAATGTTCACCTACCCACGGTGGGCGCATGTTAATATGCACACCGCTTATGTGGCATTCACACATTGATGATGTTAATATGTTCAAAAAAATACATCACCAATGTGTGCATGCCACATAAGCGGTGGGCATATTAACATGTGTCCACCATGGGTAGGTGAGCATTACTGATATAAATATATTTGTTAGTTTTATATACCCAACTAGTACAACGCCCGTGTATTACACGGGTGCTTGTTAAAATTTTCTTAAAATTTAAAATTAATGAGAAAAAGTAATTGAAAATTTAAATACTTTATATATATATATTATTTTTGTATGACACTTGTCACTTGTGCGACTTATATGTGTTATATTATAATAATTTTTCTAACTTATAACATATAACAACATTAAACATGAATATATTAATTGAGAAATAATTTTATTTTTTAATTAATTTTAATAAATATATTTTTATTATTGCAAAGACAAATATAATTTGTTTATTTTATATATACAATATGAATGTCAAATCGAAGCTCATCAAAAGATGATTAATTTGATACATTATATATGTAAAACCTATAAGAATTACAAAAGTTATCAACTTTTAAAATACATTTACAATTCAATAGTTATAATAGGAAATGATATTAAAATATAATTAATACATGTAGAATGATCATAAATAAATCAACATATTTATGGTAATTCGAACCTAATTGTTTTGAATTGGAATTAAATTAAAATCTATCCAGACCAAATAACAAAGTATGGAATTTTTGCACCTAGGACTCCGAAGCATGCGAGCCTGCCACTTAGGCTCAGCACATTCAGGATTTATATATAGAGGCGATAGGAGTCATAAATAATAAAAAAAATTACTAAGAAGAATTAATATCATTTTTTTTAAAAAAAAAAAAATCCTTAGGGGCAACTAGGTATAAACTAAACCCTTTTTTATTGGATCTTGAATTAAAGTGAGATAATTTTAAATAAAATTCATTTTGGATTGAGTGAGATTTGAGTTTATATTTAAATAATATTTAAAATATAACGATTGAAGTTTGTGTGATGTAAAGTAGGCAAAATGTTATTGGTAATAATAAATATAAGAGAATGAATTAATAGTGAATTAAAGTTGATGTGACATATGATGATTATTGATTGATATTATTTATTTAATTGTGTTGATAAAGATTTGATGATTATTAATTGATATTATTTATTTAATTATGTTGATATACTGAAGAGAGTTGAGTTGTATTAAGTTTAAATTGAATTTTGAGTTAAATATTATAAACTATTATCAAATCAGTCCAAATTGACTTCGATATGTAGCCATCCGCCCTTGATAATATATGGATATAAACAAATAGAATTTATCTTCTTTTTTTCTTTTTTCCCCATTCAATAGAGAATTTTATATATGTAACACAACATAAATGTGCAAAGATGTAGCCCCTAGCAGAATAATATAACCAAAAGCTGAAAAAACTGGGAGGATGGATCAGAGACCGCCAAGAACCGGTACTAGCACCGTTGGAAACCGAAACAGAAGACTCACAACAAGCACTAAAACAAACTATAAAATTCTCAAAAGAAGAATAAACATTCCCAAAGTGATAATACCCGCCCACACTCGGGCATATACAAAGGCCAACGGCCTAAACAAAAAACAGGAGACCTAACAACATAAATCAAACAAACACACTTGAAACAAAACAAAAACACCTAAACTAGAGCCATTCTTCACAACAGGAAAAAGCTCCACAACAACCCCGCCACTGCAACCGAGAGCTCCTACCCGATGGAAAATCATACCGAGCTAAGTGCCGAGACTTGAAACTGCTGAAAATGCCTAACAAGATCTAATACTCCGACCCTGAAACTTTCCCATGTAGTCACCCACGAACCAGTCAACGAAGCTCAACCCCAAACACACACCACCCAAACAATACGGCAGCACAAAGCCAACCGTCCCCCAAGGCCCACAACTATCACCATCAGCGAAGCTCGACTCCCAGCCGCCGGAACACCCAATACACCGACAACACCACCACTGCCTAGCCTCGGCTAACATCACTAGCCAAAAAACAGAACATCGGCCCCCTACTCCTGCTCCACCACGAGAACGTGGTGAGCTGCAAGAGCCATGCCCCCACCCCGAAACCACACCTCGACCAAATCCTCCACAACCCGATAATCCGATGACTAGAGACCATAGATGGTACATGAAAAGGCGAAATACGGTCGTGGAAACCATCCGAATCTCTGGTGAAGAGAACACTAGAGGTGCAAAAAACAAAGCTGAGTCCAAACAACCAAGAATCAACACCACTGACAATGAAAGTCACGCGCGCTACCGGTCACAGCCAAAACCATACTAGCAGAGACCCTCTTACCAACACTAGGTAAGTAAGGCAAAAGGGGAAGGGATGGCGATGAAGGAAAGGGAACGTACCTCTACTCAAGCCTCTACCCGACGGAAGTCGGCGTATGCCGCCCAACGCTGCCATCAAGAAGAGGAAAAACTTGCACCTTCGAACACCCGCCGGAGCGACACCATCCGACAAAGCATCCATCGGCCTAATTTAATTAAATTTACATTGAATCAACTTTAATCATTTTATTTTTAAATATCAGACTAATACAAAATCAAAATCTCACTCAAACCTAACTTAAACAACGTTTTCAATATTAAGTCTTGTTGACCAAAATATACAATCGAAACTCAATCAAATTTATATTCAATCACCATCTAGGTGCCTCTCAAATGCAGATTGAGTCTCTCGCCTAAGTGGGGACTAGGTGACATTTCAGAGTTGTAAAATTATTAATAAACTTATTTATTTATTTATTTAGCATTATGCATAATTTATGTTATATTATAAACCTATATTAATTAATAATGATCAAATACAGAGATTATATATAATATATTTATAGCCATTCTATTAACTTGATGTGATTATTATTTTTTCTATCATTTTGAAAAATAAATATAATATAAAAGAGTTCGACATTAAGGCTACGCCAAGCCTAATTAGGCCGCATAACCAATGTAGACGTGACTAACTTTGCAGCCAAGGCTAATTAGGCCGCATAACCAATGTAGACGTGACTAACTTTGCAGCCGCTTAATACAAATTAGTCGTCTGGACGCCGCCGCCTTGTTTTTTCGATTACCTAGAATGACCCCTACACAAAATTATTCCCCTAGATTTACCCCTACACAAATATTGTGTTGCTTTGGAGGATTTTTATTAGAATAAAATTATGACTATTAGATTTTGCCAACAAAAATTACATCGAGGATTTAATTAAGGTCATGTTTTTGTGATATACAAGCAATAATGCCAATTTTCCAAAAAAGATCATGCCTTTTACCTTTTGAATTCTCATGTAATATTATCACAATTCATGCCAATTTATTGCTACCATCTCCCCATAATAAAATAAAAAGAATACTACAATCCAAGGACCATTAATATTTACTTATTTTTTCACCATTTTTTCCCAAAAAAAAAAAATAAAATAAAAATTCAACACACAAAATTTGACCCCCCAAAAATCCCAATCACGTGCTCTCCAATAAGCTCCGGCCCACCACGGCCGCGCTTCAAGTCTTTGACTCCCTCTCTCTTTTCTCGCTATTATTCACTGCTCTCAGGCCACCAAAAAGCATTTGCAAAACACACACTGTTCACACACACACACACACACACACACACACACACACACTGTTCACATCTCAAACACTTGGTGGGTTTTTGAGGTGGTGGGGCTACCCGCAGGAATTCCACTACCCTCTTCCCTGAAAAGAATAATAATCCGATCAAATCCAAAAGAATTTAAAAAAAAAAAAAAGTTTTTAACTTTACCATTACAGCTTGCAAGAAAGCTGAAAAAAACAAAAGGAAAAAAGAAATAGCTTCAAACCAAACCCCCCCATTTTACCAAAGACCCTCTAATCCCCATCTGCCAGTTGTTCGAGCTCCGCCGACCATGGCCGTCCGTTCTGCTTCTTCGGCTTCGTGTTTAATTTTTTGTTGTTTTTGTGTGGGTTACTCGTGCCTGGGGTTCTTTTGTGATCAAATGATTGACTAGTGATTCGTGGGATTTTGTTTGCCGGAGGGGAATTTTTTGGGGGATTATTAGGGTTTTCAGTATTTGTTGTTTTTTTTTGGGGGAAATGGAGAATATAGAGACGCTGTTGGCTGCTGTGGCTCAGACGCAAGGGTTTGACGACGACGAGCCTGCTGTTAAAGCTGGTGCCGGGGGTGGGTTGGAGAAGTCCGAGGCTCCGGCGGTGGGTCGGGATGGTTCCGGCGACGCGCGGCCGTCCGCGGCGGCGGATGTGGCTCCTCCGGCTCCGATTCTGGAGCCGGCGCCGCCTCCGTTGGCTGTGCCGGTGATCGCCGCCGCCGTGGAGGGGAAGAAGAGAGGACGGCCGAAGGGGTATCTGGCAGCAAAGCCCCCAGCCCCCAAGCGGACTAGGCCGGAGGACGAGGAGGAGGATGTTTGCTTTATCTGCTTCGATGGGGGTTCTCTGGTACTTTGCGATCGCAAGTGAGTTTAGTTCTAATATTTTTTTTACCTTGGACATCGAATATAGTTCTATTCTACTTCGATTGATTACGATTATTTTGTTTATCCAGTATTTAATTGGTAGAATGCAGCCATTTTCTTTCCTTATTATTATTATTTTTGTGTGTTTTTCCGAGGACACATTCACTTCTATGTCTGTCTTTGAGAGAATTTTAGTACAAAGGAGGTTTCTTGAATGTTATATATTGGGAGTTTCATATACCTTTATCTGGTAGTGAATTCCATTTCTCTTATCACTGTCAGGGGCTGTCCAAAGGCATATCATCCAGCATGCATTAAGCGAGACGAAGCATTTTTCCAGTCAAAAGCGAAGTGGAATTGCGGTATGTTATCCACTTATCTTTCCAATGTGTGGGAATATGGCAATCTTCATTTTGTTGTTTTTCACATGGACATTCTTGCTTTATGGTGAAAGTTTATGTTTTGCTAGGTATTCAATCTTATTGTGGCTCTACATTTAGAAATCTGATCAAATATCTATTACTGACTTTTGAGATGTTCATTAATTTACAACGCTTGCATGAAGCTTCAATTTTTATTATGAACGTTTGGATAACCCATTTAACCAGTTTTATTGGCCAAACGCCACATTTCTCTTTCTAATGTATGCAAATTTACGTATCCCACTTCATTTGATAGTCGTGCAAGTTTCTTCATTTTAACGTTACCCCACTTGCAGATATGAGGAGAGCTGTTGTATAGTTAACTGTATGTGTGCTTTCTTTGGGCTAAATATGGCCTTCTTGCTTTCAGGGTGGCACATATGTAGTGTATGTAGAAAAGCTTCCCATTATTTGTGCTACACATGCACCTATTCATTGTGCAAAGGCTGTATAAAAGATGCAGATTACGTGTGTGTCCGAGGAAACAAAGGATTTTGCACGATCTGCATGAAAACAATCATGCTGATTGAAGACAAAGACCGAGCAAAAGCTGAGTCGGTACGCACATCTTCCTTATCATTTATTAAATTGAGTCACATAATTGAGTAGATCCCTGTTAAGATGAACTTCAAAATGGTAAGACAGTTTTCTTATTCTAACGGCATTGCCATTTCATCTTTTGGTTTTAAGACGTTTCTGTCACCTGGTATAACTAGGAGTGGTATGTTCATCTACTAATGTTTTGATATGTTTTTTTATGGATTTTTGTTGTGGGCACCTTATGGTTAGCTCCATGAAAAATGGCGTCTTGTACATGTATTTGCATTGGTTTTCTTGTCTTTTAGACTTTAGTTTGTTTTTTATTTGTGCTTTTGCACGTCTCTTTTTGTATTGCATGTTATAATTTACATCCCGAAAAGTTTATCTGTAGTATATATGTCTAACGTCCGTGTATCATTTTTACTTTACTATAGGATTAGATACTTTTGGATCAGATAACGTGGAAAGTGTTAATTGAAATAAGATACGAACATATCAGGTTACGGCTCATCGATGTACTTGAAGGAAATATCTGGCATTGATAAAATATGGGACTTAATATTTTAATGACTTAGGTTCTGGAAAATCGTGTTGTGGTGATAGTAGTGAAGATTTGGTAAATAATTAAAAGCATGCTTTTCGCAGTAGATAATATGTAAGCTTTCTATCTATATTTGCACCATGCTTACGGTTTTTTTTTTTTTTTT